ATAATATATATATATATATATATATATATATATATGCATTAGTTTAAGCTTATGTTCATCTATATGCACGTCCACGTTGTAGTGTGCATGCGGACAAGCAGACGGTGCAGCAGAGTGTAGGATGGAGCCGTTGGGTGTGTCTGCTGCTTTTCCGTTCCCTTCTAACTGCTTCGGTCCTGCAGGGATGTGCTGCTGCTGGAGATAGGCTTCATTTGTTGCTTCGGCCCCGCGGCTCTGTCTATAGGCTGTCCCTTTGCAACAACTGCGGTGGTGCTCCTGCTGCGGCTTCTTCTCTTCAAGCTGCTCTTCTGTTCAGCCATATCGAAGTTCTGTGCGTGGTTGTCTTCCTACCTTTTCTATACCGCTGTTGTCTCCTTTTATACTTGTCTGCTGCTGCTTCTGCTGGTGGTGGTGTCCTTGGCAATTCTTCGTTGCTTCTTTGGTCTGCTGCTTTTGCCGTCACTTCAGCAGCAGCAGCGCCGCACTGGAGAGACCTCAACGCCCTATACTTCCACTACTGGACGCAGCCCCTACCCTGCCCAGGCTCTTGTAAGCTTCGGTCTTCCGGTGCAGCTGCCTAGCTTGAAAGCACACGAGAAGCAGCAACAGCAGCACGAGCAGCGCAGCGCACTCGAATTCCCCTATGCTCCAGGAGTGTGGCAGCAGCAGCAGGACGCATCGCATTTAGACGGGAGACAGCTTCAGAGGAAAGACACTTTGAGGTTTATGTTGTAGGGTTTAGGGTTTTCCCTTAAATATGTGGCCTGTGTGGCTGCTCCAGGGTTTTTCTATTGGTCGAGAGGCAAGCGTCTTCACGCGATTATTGTCCTTTTAACGGAGGTTCGCCTGCTGCTGCTTCCGCTTTTGCTGTTGTGGCTGCTGTTTCTATGTCTCTTCATGAGTCTGCTTGGCCCCCTTAGCATGCTATTGCGTCTCTGGAGCTGCACGTTCCTGTCTCCACTACCGGAGATTTCGGTCTCGTTTGCAGGTTCATCTGTTTGCATCCTCAGGTGTATATTTTGTTTCTTGTGCGGAAGAGGCCTCTGTGCAGATATGCTTAGCTTTTTGTGCCGTTTCCTTTATGTGTATCGGGGGAGTTGAAGTGTTGCTTCTGCTGCTCCTGCTGCAGGGCGTGATGTCGTGCTTGATCTTCGCCACAGCCCCCTTTCGCGTGGCTGCAGCAATCTCCATCCTGGGTGTGTATTGTCGCTGCTAATCGTCCGCATCTGGTGCTGGGGCGTGTGGTACTTCTGCTGTTGCTGCTGCTGTTGCGGCGTTGCTCGTTGTGGTGGGTGGAGGTGTCTGATGAATATGCGCGATGAAGGCGCGATGAAGACGCGATGAAGGCGCGATAAAGGGATGCGAGGGGTTGACATGTTTCGGAGTTTTGGCTGCATGCAGGCCTGTGTGGTGGGGTGCTGCTGAGCGGCAACTTGGGCTTTTTGCCTCATCTAGCTGTTGCTTTGTGTCTGTCTCTCTCCGACGACAGTCTTTTGAACGCTGCGGCGCCTGCTGCAGCTTCGCTGGTGAGAGAAAGAAGACGCGCAGACGCCCTGTATACACACCTCCAAAGATAGGACTGTGCTGGCACTGTTGCTGTTCTTATGGTTACTGGCGCTGCTGATGCTGATGCTGATGTACGGATCCGCCATCGGATTCGGCCAATTCCTGCTCGTGCGTCTGTTTTTTCAATATATTTCCTGTCTTCTTTTGGTGTGTGTGTGTGTGTGTGTGTGTGTGTGTGTGTGTGTGTGTGTGTGTGTGTGTGTGTGAATTTATATGATGTATTTTCTGTCTCTTCTCAGACTTTCCTCGAGCGCTGCGCCCTGATGGCTGGCCGCGCTGTACTCTGTACAGTCGTCGGTGTTTATTTCCTGGTGAGGCATGATCACCAGGGACAGAAGCAGCAGCAGCACCAACAGCAGCGGCACAACAGCAGCAGCTGATACTGGTACAACACGCACATGTGCTGCCGCAGCTCTTTGCTGCTGCTGCTTCTGCAGCTTCAGCAGTGTTGTACCTGATAAGTGTTTGTGTCCTTTTCAATGTTTTTCGTAGATTTACACTGCGGGCTGTCTGAACTATTTCTGCAAGTGAGGCATTGGCAGGTGTCTTGGCCCTTGTTACCTCAACTTTTGGCATTCCCGTGCAGCTGCTTTCGCAGTTGGGTCCGCTGCAACTGTTGCTTTTGAAGCTGCTGCTGTTGCTGCCTTCAGGATTTGGATGAGACCAAGTGTGTCTGCGCCCTCGTGGGTGTTGGCGCTGTGTCGGGAACTGTCTCTCCTTAGCATCTGCAATGGTTATGGTGAGCTACAGAAGCTACAGAAATAGCTGCTGCTGCAGTTGCTACCCCGAGATGCACCAGTTGCTGCTCGAGGGGAATAGCTAGCGGCTGGAGGGTAGCACGCAAACAATAAAAGCAACAGAGGAACTGGAGTGCAGAAAGGGAGGCAGACGATATTATGATGTCTAACGATGGGGCGATATCACTAGGAGTCGATAATATATTGAGGAACGACAATATAATGAGGAACCAAGGAAGGGGGCTTACCTGGTGTCTCCACTTGCTGCGGCTGCCGCTGGTGCAGGTCTGTTTTCAGTTGTCACCACAGGGCGCCTCGAACTCGTCGTAGAGGAGCTGCACCAAACAGCAGACCGACGGCCACAGTGGAGAGAAGTATTCCTTCCATTTAAACCTGGTGAGGACCCCGGTACGGGGTCCTTTCCGGTAGTTGTGTTCCGTCTCCCGTTTCTTGGCGTGCAGTGTCTCTTCTCAGCCTGTTGAAAGCTGTTGCATTCAGTGTCAGTGTTGCTAGTCTGTCTTTGTCCGCTTATACCCATGTGGCCTCCTCGCCTATACTGATAATTCGTACTGCTGTGTATAAGCCTTCTCTTGTCGTTGGGGGCAGCTAAGGAGAAACGTACCCAAAACCCAGCCGCTCCACATACCAGCTAGCTAGCTAGCCACGAGAAGTAGCAACAGCAGGGCAATGTAGAAATCTACATGAGATAGATAATGTGCAGACGATGCACACAGATAAAAAACTCCCACAACGATAAAAACAATGCGCTGCGCTGGTGGTGCTGCTGCTTGTGTTGCTGTTGCTGCTACCGCTGCTGCTGTTGCTGCTCGCGTGGTTGCTCAGGAGATGTCAACAGTTCTCCCCCTTGGTTGTTCTCCGGTCACTTCCCTCGCCTGGACTGGCGGCTTTGGTTTATTCCGCTCCGTCTGAAGTCTGCTTTAAAGGGAGCAGTAGCGGGGACGCCGTCGCTACTACAGCAGCAGCAGTTGCAGCAGCAGCAGATGTCTCTTAATGCCCCGTCCCCTGCCTGTGATTCTTGTGGCCACGGGGCATCGCCTGCACCAGCCCAAGACGATCCGCTTCAGCTCTACCCGCCCTTCTGGCGAGCCTTTGTGAACCAGCTCAGCAGCCGGCAACCGGCAGTGCTCCAGCTACTGGGGCAGCAGGGGGTGAGCAGAGTTGCCTCCCCTTCTTAACAGCAAAACAGCTAGCCACTCCGCTAGTCTGATTAGCTTCGCCGATTAGGCGGAAGGAAGTAGCTCTTTTGCCGGGCTGGGTTCGTTTGATGACTAGGGGATACGGGTTCGCTTTCTGGACTTTCTGGGCAGTAGCTAGCTGTGTAGCTATGTAGGTGGGGAACTAGCTAGCTGCGGACCCCCCTAGGTCGAACAGATGGGTACGTTGGTACGTTACCTTTGTGATCATGTCGTGCGCGCTTGTGCTGCTGTGTAGGAGGTTTTGAAGCAGCTGCCCCCGCCTGTGGCTGTGAAGGTGTCCTTGTACGATTACCGCATGACTCCGCCAGAGGGCGTGCCTGCGTACGCCGCATTCTTCCCACAAGGTGAGATACATCATTCTTCTGTTGGAACCAAACGGTAGCCGACACGTAGCTTCCAGTGGGTGTCTTCGCTGATGCCCACCTTGCAGATGGGCATTTCGATGAGGATGTGTGTACTGTGGTGGTTTGCCGCTCGTAGTCTGTGGCGCCATGCCCGCTAGCTCTATTAGCGGCTAGCCGTTAATAGATAATGCCAGCACGGGATCAAGCATGCTGCTGTGGTGTCGTTGTTTGTCCAACAGGTTGGACGCACCTCACTCCCCAGGAGATTCTGAAGCTTGAAGTAAGCTATTGTGCAGGTGTATCCGGCTGCAGCAAACGCTGTATCGGCTGATTGCTTTTTTTTTTTCCGTAATGTGGGCACATCTGGGAAATGTTGGTATCTGCTTTTATGCTACAGAAAGACTTGGTCCACTGGACCATTGGTCGTTGGTGGATGAGGAGGAAGCAACACGACCTCGACTTCTTTGTCTTTTCGAAGAGCTGCCCCCCGCTGGAGGAGTTGTGTCAGTATTAGGGTGCATGCAGGAGAAGAGGGGGCACCCGCAGACAAGCAAGGAGACAAGACCTCGCAGCAGCGGCCCAGCTCATGAAGACAGCCGACAGATTGGCAGGCTGCGTTGTTGGTTGGTACAAACACCGTACACCGCCTCGGAAGCTGTTGTCAGCGTGCTGTCAGCAGCTTCTTTGCGGGCGCGTTGACGAGGCCCAGAGGACACGCAGTAGCCCCTTCATGTTTGAGGGACTCCGTTGTCGCCTTGGGCTGTCTAGAAATTTGAGCTCTAAGACAACCGGGGCCTTTTGGACCATGCCGTCTCTAAAAGTATTCGACAAAAGTGGACATGGGAAGGCACTTGCAACGGAAGTTGTTCTGCTGCTTCTGTTGTCGTTGCTGCTGCCGATGTCGCTATTTTTGCCAAATGTTGTTTGTTGGCCTTCTGTAGAGGTAGGTGGTAGCAGCAGTTTACTTCTGCTAAGTAGCTAGCGATTGTTGTAAATATTTGATATCGGTATCCCAAGGTGGGGTCAGTACGAACGCAAGTGGTTACGAGCCCTCGACTGTATGCACTGCGGCCGTTGGCACTGCTCTTTAAGTGGAGCGCACTGCCACCAGTATGAAACCCGAATCAGATTAGGTTCTTTCTCAGGCTTCATGTTCCTTGAGAGGGCCGTGACGGAGTTGCTGCAGCGCAGCAGCGAGCGCACCGCACGAGACGACCGGGCCGGGCTATGGTAAGACTCTAGACAGTAAGATAAGTCCTGGGTAGCAGGGGAGAGAGAAGGAATCGTAGAGAGTACTGCACATAGAGATTGATGGAAGTATAGACAGACGAGTAGACGGAGAGGCGAGGGAAGATAAAGGCACAGGTGAGGGGGGAAGGATAGCAATGACAGGAGGGAGAGGGAAGAGGGCTAAAAAACGCAGGTGCCAAAGGAGAGGCTAATATTACCTGAAAATGGCAAAACCCAGCCCAGTTACAATATCCGTTCTTTCTTCTTTCGGTCCCAAGGACGTTCCATTCTACTGGCGAGCGCCTCTTCTCCCGCCTGACAGGTCCAGCGGACGACTCCGCCCCAACTTCAACTACTTTTGTTCTTTTGAACAAGAATCTTCCATAACCTGCTCGCGACTGTTTATTTTCCCGTTGTTATCAAAAGAAACACAGGGGCGCCAAGAGCCCAAGGGGGGCCCCTGCCGGGGGCCCCCAAGGTCGCAAGCACATCCAAAGGGTCTCAACCAATCTTACGTTTCTTCTCGTGGGTAAAGTTCTTCGGGTATAAAAAATGAAAGCGCGTAGAAGATGCACCTTGGGGTCATGAGGCCCTACATAGCGATTGTCAACTCATACGTACGTCAAATTCAATATTCCAAGAATACTCCACAAAGGCCCCTCATCCCAACTCGTATGGCTTTTTGACGTTGAAGTGTCTACCGTAATATAAAGAAAGATAAGAAATAAAGGACAATAAGGGGAAATTCGCCATTGGAAGTGGAGAAGACCCTCAAAACAACATTTCGGCAGCGGCACAGGCTGTTCTGCTGTGTGGGAAGGGAACGAACGCCGCTGCTCCTCCTGTTATTCTAATTATTACCGTCGTTTCCGTTCCCCTCCGCGTTGTAGTAGTTATTTCTGGCGCTCCTGCTGTTGTAGTTGTTGCAGTATGCAGAGCTTCGATTCTCTTTACCGACGGAGCAGTGGACTTGCGCAGTCGCATCAATATTCCTGAAGGGGCCCCTTTCAGGGACTCCTTTCAGGGACTCCTTTCAGGGGCCCCTTTCAGGGGCCGCTGGAAGGACCCCGAATGGCCCTCTAGGTTCCTTCTCGTTGCTGTTTGCGTTGAGTGAAACTGGAGCACCACCATGCAGTACAATAAAGGTACAGGTGCCCACCTGCCCAAGGAGGGAGCTGGCCCCACCCCCGCCGAACCATACCCTCGTCATTTGCTAGAGTGCGTTCCTGTCTTGTACCACATGAGCCCATTCTTAACGGCGGGGGACTTGGGGAGGCTCTGCTGCTGCTGCCGCCTGCTGCAGCAGCACAAGCAGCAAAACGGCGGCCTTCTCTTCTCCGCCCTTGAAGATGCGCTCGCGAAACTGCTCCCCAACCACCGAGCTAGGGTGGACCTCTGGTTGGAATTCGCAGACGCAAGTAGCCTCTGGGGGTGCCCCCCTCTCCGTCTCAAGGGGCTCTCTCCGCAGACCCAAAGTAGGCAGCAAAGCCCCGCAGCAGAAGCATTATCCAGCGGTGGTGCTGCTGCTGGTGGTGGTGCAGAATCAAGAGCTAGTTCTGTGTCTCCTGTTTCTCCGAGTTGCTGGGGCTGCTGTTGCTGTGTTGCTTTAGGTTCTGCTCTCCTGGCTGCTTACGTCTCTGTAGCTGGATCCGGTGGTCTTGCTGCTTCCCAGCGGGTTCTGCTGCATCAGGTGCCTCTGCTCCAATGCTGTGTATGCAGGGTGTTGCTGCAGCAACAGCAACAACGCAGCAGCAGGGGTCCGTACCCCTGCAGCATCTTCCACAGGAGCGCCTGCCGCAGCTCTTGCCACAGCGGACAGGAAGAGGCAGCGACGGGCCGCGCAGGACCCTCAGGAGATGATCCTCTATCAGGGAGACACCGCGCCAATCTGCTGCAGAGCCCCTCAGCTTTTTCCAAGGCCACCGCTTCTGTCTTTGCAGCAGCATGCGTCATTCTTTCTTCGCTTGCGGCGCTGCTGGAGGCTGATTGCAGCCGCAGCAAAAACAGCAACCACAACGGTAGCACCAGCAACATACACAGCAGCAACAGAAAAGGCTTCATCCTGCTCAGCGAGAGCAGGGGCAGCAGACACAGCGTCAGCTGCTGTAAGACCTACTACAGCAGCAGAAGCAGCAGCTGCTGCTGAGGCTAGGCTCTCCATAGTGGATGTCGGGGCCCTTCAGTGGGGCTGGAACGAGGTGGCAGATTGCCTCCTTGTTTCCAGGGGTGGTGAGCCATTGCTGCCGCTGCCGTTGGTCTTGGTGAAGCTGATAGTGTTGTTTGGTGCTATTGTAGTGCTTACCAGGTGGTGGATGCTGCGTCTGTTGGCTCAGGGAGCTGGTGCTTCGTTTTGCAGCAGCACGAGGGCGGAGTGTTCGTATATCAACCGATTCTCTCCTCTGCTGCTGCTGGTGTTCCTGCCCAACTAGACAGCGCTTCATCCGTTCCTGCAAATAATACCACTGATGCTCTTTCAGCTGCTGCACCCGATTTTGCTGCGGCTAGATCAGGCGAGCAGCAGCAGTTGACTGTATCTCACAGTGCGCTTCCCCCTCAAATCATTAAAAGTAACAGTGGTGGCAGCAGTTGTATGCTGCCCCTCGTAGTAGAGCTGCCTACCCATGCTGCAACTAAGTCAATGCTGTACCACGAGTACCATCATCATCCCCACACTCCCGATAAGGCGAGGCAGCTCCAGCAGCCTCCGTTGCCGCAGAAACAGCAGAAACAGCAAATGCTCAAGCTGGATTTTCGACGCCGCGCGCAAGTATCTGAAGACGAGTACGAGGCCGCTTTGTGGGTGCGGGCCCGGCCTCAACTGTGCGAGTGCTCAGGGCGTCTCGTTGTCCCCTTTTGGAGACCTGGAGAGACACCCCAAGTGAGGAGACACGAAAGAACGTGGTGGCGTAGAATCAGCAGGAACGGCGCTAGCTACAGTAGTGGCAACACATGAGGGTCTGTCAGCTGCAGCAGATGCTGCAGCCCGGCGCAGAAGCAACAGCCAGATGCACCCACAACAGCGCCACCTGCACCATAAGAAGGATTTGCCACACTAAACCCTACACCTATGTTCTCCTCTTACACTGTTGACACTGCTCTGCTACGTCCACATCCTATATTCATCTTTGCTGCTGCTACTGGTGCTGGTGGTGCCTCAGATATTCAGCTGGAGCCCGACATACCCTCAGCGCTTTCTTAACCGCTCCTTTCCTAATCTACACAGCCTCACGGTCGCTGCTCTGCCGGTGTATCGTCACCAGCATAACAGCAGCAGCGGTGGCGACAGCAGCACTAGTATCTGTTGTAGGTGTTGTTGCTGCTTCATTGAGCAGTCTCCTCTGGAGCTTCTGCTAGTTGGGCAGGGACGCTCGCTGCTTCTGGTGTTGCCGGCTACACTCGAGGTGCTGCCGATGTTAGTTCTGACCAGCCGCCCTGCAACGACGCAGCAGGAGCAGGAGCACCAGCAAGGGGAGCAGTGGCACGTGCGCAGGCGTCTGTCTTTACCTTTCGCGTACAAAGGCTATATTCTGCTGGCCTCCTGCAAGTACCTTGTTGCTCTTCCCAGGTTCTGCTTGGGCGCCATTCACCAGTACGACGATGCCAGTAGCAGTAGTAGTAGTAGTGGCAGCAGAAGCTACAGCCAAAGCCAGAGCAGCAGTGAAAGTGACAGTAGCAGTCATAGCAGCCACAGTAGGGGCTCGACTGCCGGCAGAAATGGCCAAGACGTCGTTGCGAGCAGCAGTGCGAGAGGCATAACCAGCCGCAACGGAGGAAACACCAGTAACAGCAGCACCAGCAGCAGCAGCGGCAGCAGTGGAGAAGAATATGCCCCTGCTGAGCTTTCTGAGGAGACTGCGAGGCTTCGGGGTCCTCAGGGTCGCCTGTGGCGCCTACGCTATCCCAGCTGCAGCAGACGGCGCACCAGCAACAGGAGTAGTAGTAGCAGCAGCAATACCTCTACGAACGTCCTCAGGAGCGAAAGTGGGAGCGGAAGTCCCAGCACTAAGTTCTGCTGGTGCAAGTTCTCTCGGCGCGGCCCAGCAGCAGCGTGTGAGCAGCATCTGCTGCAGTCCCCTTATCTGCACGTCGGGCGTCCCTCGCCTATCAGCACTGGCGAAGTTGGGGTCTCCGCTGGCTGTCTATCTGTAAGTCCTGTTCAGATCTCCTGGGGAACAGCAGCTAAGTTCACACGTAAGGATAAGTCGATGGTGCTCGCGTTTCTACTGCATGTCCAGCGATGGCACTGCTGCACCCGCTGCTGGACCTCCTTCTGCAGCAGGTGCACCCATCCTACTGCTGCAGCAACAGTACGACGGGTACACCAGTAACATGTGGTAGCTAGTGCTACTGGAGTTGCTGCGGCCTGATTGCCTCACCTGCTTTGCTAATCGAGGAGCAACGGCATAGGGGACTGGTTGCAGCTACTGTTGTGAACATGCCGGGCCGCTGCACCAGCTGCGCGGTGTAGTTGATATTTCTCCTTGGATGATGCTGCTGCTTCAGGGGCCTTGGCTATGCTTTGGGTTTGAGGATTCGTTGTCGATTCGCTGCCTCTGTCTCCTTAAGCGGGGATGGGGGAGACGAACTGTCTCCCCCGGCGAGAGGCCGCAGTGGCGAGGCAGCCGCAAACGCCTCCTTAAGCTCATGAAGGCGGAAGCAGTCGCCCGTTCTGTCGAAGGGTAACCTACACCCACACCTTAAATTCCTTTCCGTCGCTGCACAAGCTATTCCAGGGATCTGCAGCAGCAGCAGCCGCCTGCTACTGTAGCAGAAGTAGCCGTCGCAACAAAAGCAGCAACCAGAAGGCTATTAAGGCACCTTTGCCTCCTGATGGGGGGTTCCATATGCAGTATCTCGCTTTCTTGCTGCTTCTCATACTGTTCCTTGTGGCTATGCCCCTTCTGCCGTCTGGAGTGCTGCTTTTGCTCATGCCTTCTGTGCTGCTGATTCTGCTGTTGTGTGTGCTGCCGCTATTGCTGGGTGGTGAAGGGAGTGTCAGGCGGGTGTTGCTGCTTTAGACTGCCGCCAAGTGTCCTTAGCGACCTGCATGCGCCTCTTGGGGTTGCACCAACCGGAACAGCAGAAGCAGCAAACGGAGCAGCAGCAGCAGCAACAGAAGCAGGAGCAGCAACAACAAAGAGGGTTGTTATGTGATGGGCAAGAAAGACAAATTGCAAATGTTTGTCCTGCAGGCAGCGGCTCTGTGCTGCTCATTGCCGCTGCGTTGTCTTTGGGCAGTCTTCTTTTTGGGGTCCTCGCCCCAGCCGGATGGTTGCCACGAAGCACTGGTCAGCAGCACAATAATGGAGGTACTGCTGCTTCGGTAGTTGCTGCAGCTGTTGCTGATCCTGCTGCTAGTCCTTCTGCTGGTGGTGCTGGCGGTTGGCCAGGGCTACATCACGCGCGAGAGCATGTTGTTGCTGCAACGAATGTGAATGCGGACGGAGACACTGGGATCGTGTGGGAGACGATCCCCGTCCGTGGGGGGTTAGGGGAGCCACGGTGGGAGTTCTTGCTGCTGTGGATGCGGCAAACGGCAACATCATCTAATGCAGCATCTAATGTAACAGCCAATGCAACAGCTAATGCAGCACAAAACGCAAGAGCTTCTGTTCCGTGGGAACGCGTGCAGCTGCGGCTCTCTTCAGGGACTGTCGTTTGCAACAGGCAAGCCAAGTTATGCCCTCTTTCCCCTTTCGCGTCTCCATGTGCTGTCGAAGTCTCTGGGTGCTACTGTCTTCTGTTCAATCAACCAGCAACTCCACAGCAGGCGAAAACACCACGGCGGCTGGGGGCACACCAGAGGTCGCAGCAGGGATAGGCGCACGCAAACAGAAACAGAGACACAGACAAAGAGGAAGTTAGCAACCAGTAAAGGGACGGGCAGAGACAGAGGCAAAGGCAAAGACACAGTCACAGGAAGAGACACAGGCAAATAAAAAGCTTGAAACAGAAACGAAGACAGAGAAGGCGGTAGCCAGAGAAAGCGGGAGACAGAGAGAGACAAAGCAGGCACACGATTATGTAAACAGTCCCAACACATGAGTTGACACGACCACCCCTGAGCATAAGGAGGAACAAGTAGAAAGGAAAAGGCAAGATAATTAAACACATGCTCAGTAGCAAGATGGTAACAGCACAGCATAAACGGAGACAGCAAGACAGAAGCAGCGACAGCAACACAGAAACACAGAGAGAAAAACATGGCACGAAAAAAAGCAGGAGCCTTGTATCAAAGACAGGGGTACAGCATAATCAGACAGAGGAGACAGCAGCAGCAGTTTTATTTCTTTTTCTGCTTGCGCCCCTCAGCATCTGTGATGCCCAAGTGTTCCACTTGCAGACGGGGCTCCCCGTGCTGCAGCAAGGAGACTACAAGACCGTAGGTGAGCTGAGGTTGGGTTTTCTGTCTCAGTCTCTAAGATGATACCAGAAAGATGGCACCTGCTGCCGTTGCCGCCGTAGCAATAGACTAGGGCTTGCTGCAATAGATTCAGCTGCTGATATTCCTGCTGCCCCCCTGTGCTTGCTGCAGCAACAGATGGAAACGGTTCTCGTCTTGTCGGCATAACAGCAACAAAGCAGCCGCGCGTGCAGGTGACTGTCCCCTTTATACGAATTGCTCTCTTGCGTTGCCCTGATGCATTATCTTTACCTCAAAGACTTAGCTAGCGCAAAAACTGGCATTGCTGGCCATCCTTCTGCGGGACGAATTGGTGCTGCCGTTGCTTCCGCTGCCATTTTGCTAGTGCTTATTGGTTTCTGCTGCCGCTGTTGCTCCTCCAGGTGCTTAATACACCCTTACGCAAGCCACAGACCCCAGCAGCTGTCAGCACGAGTGTGCAGAAGGGACAGCAGCACGAACAAAAAAAGACGCAGCATCAGCAGCCCTGGTGGAGATCTTGTGAGGACTGTCGCGATGCTTGTGGCATGTGGAGTATGCCTTCCTGTTGCTGCTGCAATGGCTGCAGCTGTGTAAACAGCGGCAGCACAAGGAGTGCTGGCGGCAGCAGCAACAACAGCAGTAGCGATTGTCCTTCAGCTGGTGTTTGGTGGTAAGCCTCCCCTTGTCTTAGCTCTTGCTTGAACACTACTAATTGATGCCTGCACAGGAGCATTATTGAGTTGCTGCTGCTACAGATGCTTGCTGTTGCTCTCTGATGCTCCCTGTGGATTTTTACAGCTCGGGCTTCTGTGCGGCGAGGCATCTAGCCGCTTCTGCGCGTATTTAGTGTCTCCTTGCGCCCTTTCTGCACCCAGATACTGTAGCAGGATGAGCAACAGGAGGAGGAGCAGCATCATAACGGCAAAACATAGCTGCCGCAGCAGCAGCGGTGGAACCGCGACCAGACAAATAACTTATTTGCTTTCTTTATCGACGTTCAACAGCTTGCGCGTTTAGTGCTGCTGTAATCGATTCTTGCCTTGAGCTCTTTGAGAGCTTTTAGTCGAGCTGAAGCGCATATAGCAGCGCTTGCTGCATACAGTTAGTAGCACTAGTTGCCGGCACAGGCAGGGCACTCAGGTAGAGGCTCAAGACACGAAATAGTGCAGTCAGGAAAACCCGTTAGTTGACGTGCAAACAGCTTTAAATAATTGATAGTCAGAGATACACGGAAAGACGCCGCACCCTGTTGGGGCCATGCAGCAGCAGCAGGTGCTGTGGCCATTGCATTGCTCTCCGTCTTCGATTACGTACATAAGAGCCCATAAACAAGAAACAGGGTCTGCTGCCTCTGCTGTCCCTCCTGATTTTGTTGTGCCCCCAGCATTAATAAGCAAAAGAACAGAGCAACATAGGCAACAGTTCCCTCACGAGGTGCCGGGCCTGCCGGCGAGTTGTGAGGTAATAGCGAACAGCAACTGCAGCGGCTGGTCTGCAGCGCGGCTACTGGCATTGCTGCTGCTGATGCTGCTCCCGCAGCGCAGGGCCCAGCCACTCCACAAGCTTCTTGCAGAGCTTGCACGGCACCAGCGACCCCTGGCTAGTGCAACAGCAGGGGTTGTACCAGGAGGATCTGCAGCACCGGCTACTGCTCACGCACGTGCAGCAGCAGGATATGCCGCCACGGCCGCAGCAGCGGCCGAGCCTCCAAGGCAAGGTGCGGGTTGGGCTTGGCATTTACTTCCCCCCGGTGCTGTTGCATTGAAAGGCCCTAAGTGCTATGAAGCTGCACCACCAGCTGCAGGAGCTGAGTTGCTGCAGCAGCTGCTGGTCATATCTTCTACTGCAGCAGGCAGGCTACGGCTCGCTGGACAACGATGTGAAGGTGCTTTGTTATAGCTGTCATTTTTCCTGTGCGTATCTGTGGAGCCGCTCTGGCGCAGCTTTGCCATATTTCGGGTGCGTAGTAAACATACTATTAGGCTGTAGCATTAGCGCCTTGTGTGTGGCGCATGAAGGGTTGACTGACATCCCTAAGCACTGTCATGTTTCAGGTGTATAAGTATATTGCTACACTGTTGCATCGATATATAGTCTGTGCTTATTGGTCTCCTTGGTGGGCGTCTCCTCTGAGGTGTCTTGAAGGAGTTATGATTTGGACTGTCTGTCAGAGTTCATCGTGTAAAGAAGAAAACTCCTCGAGCTCTTCGTGCGCGAGGAGCTCTTCAGGGGTCATGGGTCTCGTGCCTCTAGCGGCGTGTCTACTGAACAGGTCTCCTATGCCTCTGGGCATCAGGGGATCCTCGTCTCCCAATTCATGTAATTCTTCACGTTCCAGCCACCGATGGTCTTCTGCATGGTGCCAGTCGTAATCAATCCAGTCCACCTCTATCAGATCGTCCAGCGTGCTGCTGCTGCTGCTACTACTGCTGCTGTGGGTGCTGCTGCCGTTGCTGTGGTTGCTGTTGCTGTAGTCGCCTACGTTGACGAAATCTTGGTAGGATTTCTTGGTCCCCTTCACGGTCCTCTGCATTCTGTGGAAGGAGACAGGAGTCACAGCTTCAACGAGCAGCGGATGATAGTCTCCTGGTCTCTCCTGATGAAAACCCCTTGAATGCAGCAGCGGTACCTGCACCTCCTGCGCCCAAAGCCCGAGCAGCATGTCGTCAGCTGTGCCGTCAGGGGGGCAGCTGCACCGGCCGCTGTCTATACATTGCACCACCAGCTGCACTGCTGCCCGGTCCAGCACAACTCCTCCCCCCATTGTCACGTATTCGTTGCCCCCAGAGCCGTTGCCTCCTGTCAAACCATAACCGTACCTCTCGCCCAAATACAATGGAGATACTGCCTCCAGAGGCCTGGGCCCCCCCCTTCCATACAGCTGCGAAGCCGCAGTCAACTCAGCAGCGGTGTACCGGCTGTCCTTGAGCGGCGTTGCTGCTGTGCTTTCTGCTGCTCGTGCTGATGAAGCAAGTGCTGCGAGGTGGGAGCGGACTTCTTGAGCAAGACGCTTGTAGGGCGGCCAATGCGCCCTGTAGCCGCGTTTGTCTGCCAGAAGGTTTGCCATGAAGCCGCGAGCGGGAATGGGCGGCTGGAGGGTAAGAGAGAGGAGGTCTAGGAGGTGGCGGAAGTTGAGAAGAGTGTCGTCGTCGACAACAGCAAGAAACCGTCGCCCGTCTTCTGCGTTCTGGAGGAAGTCCTTTAAAATGAGCTGCAGACGAACGCAAAGGCCCGCTTTCCCAGCGGGAATGTCAGAGGAAGAAGGCAGAGCCTCAATATCCTGTTTGGGGTCTGCAACGTCCGACAGGAAGCGGAGAGAGAGGAGCTTGTAGCTCTCTTCCAGATGATGCTGCTCTTCAGGGCTTGACGCCACGCCAGAATGGCCCCCTTGCGAGTGTTGATGGGCTTGCTGCACGAGAGCCTCTCTAGAGGCCCACAGGCTCCGAAGCAGTGGCAAGCGCGTCTCGTGGTTGCTCGCATGCGTCTTTACGGCCACCATCACATCCTGCAACGGCCAAAGCAGCAGCACCACGCCAGCAGCAGCAACAGTTGCAGCTTCAGCATCAGTTCTGTGTTACCACCTACTACATTCCTTCGACAGGAAGCACTACAGAGTACACCGGCAGAGACAAACACGTGCAACAAACGGACAGACACATCACTGCCCAACTGACCCGACAAGATATGAACCAATGCCACACCAGAAACCACCAACAGGGACAGGCGGAGAATGTAACAGAAAATACAAACAGCAGCACCACATATTCATATGCGCATTTTTATACACACGTCTATGAACGTATGTGTATATCCACATGTGCGTATTAACAACTCCCTAGGATGCAATCATCTGCATATACATAATATGCACGTAGACGCATGTATACAATCTAAATAAGCACATATGAATATATAACCCCGTGCAAAAATATAGATGTGGATACAGTGTATACCTCTGCAAAGCCGTACATACACATGCAGGCGCATATGAATTACACAAACGGAGATACATCAATATACGTTCATACAGCCAAGCAGATGGAGCTACATATGATTGCAGCAAACCGCAAACAGTAATATGTGAGGGTGATATACAGTGAACGCACCTGCGGCTCGACGATGAAGGCGGGCCTGGTACGTTCGAGCTCAGCGATGGACTTCTGGTATTCTCCGCCTTCGGCCATCTTCTCGTCGGCAGTATATTTGTCTGCTAGCAGGTCCCTCTGCAGCTGAGGACAGAACCAAACAAACACCCACTTGTCCCCGTCACATGACAGCAAAAACCGACAGCAACAAAGGCCCTCAGGACCCTCGTTCTCGCATTCTCCATGCGACCGCCGCATGGTTTCTTTGTGCCCCGCTTTGCCTCTTCTGTCACCTCTTGTCTTGCACTGTCATCTCGTGTCGCGTGCACATGTCTCACGTAATCTGTCTCCTCCTCTCCCTAACCCTGCACTCCTGTCTACCCTGGAAGCGTCTCACTGTGTTTCTAGTGCATATGTTGGTTTTGGCTATATCCTGAATCTCCCTGTCTGCCTGCAGAATGTCTCCTCCCGGCTACCTTCCTATCCTCCTTACAGTTACGCCCGTCCACTGTCTCCTGAAGCTGTCTATTGGGTGTCCGTACACCCTCACATCGTGTGTACGGGCACCCTCACGGACCCGCCTATTTATGTCTCTTGTTCGACTTGGGAGAGCATGACAAGACGGTGCCACACACTACACTACATCCGTAGACACATATCCTGCCCCTGTATGCAGCTCAAGCGTTTAGGGTCTAGGGTGTGGGGTTTACGGTGTACCATGAGCTCCTCGTCGAAGTCGATGAGCGCATCGAACATCTGGTGTGAGAGCACCGGCGCGTGTCGGGTGCCGCTATTGAAGGTGGCGCAGTCTTTATGGATGGCAGCAGTGGTTTCTGCTGCAGCGGCAGCAGCAGTTTCTGCTGGAGTCATCGTTCGGTTGTTTGCTGAAGCACCTGAAGTTGCTGCAGCAGAGGCCGGAAGCTCCTTGGGGCGGATGTGAGGAGGGGGATATTCGCTTTGAGCTCGTTCATACTCTTCAACTGTAGGTGATGTCGGACAGAAGAGCTCGGAGTGCAGCAGGGTGAGCTTCTGTGCGTTTTTCAGGTGTACAAACAACTCGTATACGAAGTCACGTTCCACCCCGACTGCAGGAGGTGTATCTTGAAAGGCTTTTTTGACCGCGGTGATGGCCCCACGAGACCACAGCGTACCCGCGTCTAGGTGCGGATACACCTGAGAGCCTGTAGCAGCAAAGTGGTGCAGGATCGTCGGTTCTGGGTCTGCCAGACCCCAGCCCAGCACAAATGCCTTTTCCGTCATGTCTCCCAGCCGTCCATGCAGCTCCTCAAGCAGCGCCTCCAGTGTCCGTGGGTTAAGTCGGGTGTACGCGGTCCCCAAGAACACAAATTGCACATTGGCTGGGATCGTCTCCGCCTCCCGTGCCAGCCACCTGCCCAGAGACACTGCTGTGCTGCGCTCTCTCCCGCCCCACAGTAGCAGTGCCTCGTCTCGAGGGCGCACGTGCGCTTGTGGCACCGCCAGAGTATACAGCAGCTGATGCAGCAAGTTGCTGACTATATGCGACTCCACAACAGGCGAGTTGTCAATTAAAAATAAGGTCTTCTTCTGCAAATTCGGCAGGTTCATTTCCTGCTGCTCCATCGTCTTCGGCGCTGGACCCCGAGGGATCTCACCGCCGGCCTTGCCATCGGCTGCTGGAGTAGCAGCGGCAGCAGCAGCTGTTATGGAGGGAAACGCCAACAGCTGCTTATTTTGTTGCTGATCGATGCATCCCTCCGTAAACAGCAGCAGTAACAGCAGCAATGGCTGCCGCAGCAGCCGACTCAAACCCCAGCACGCCATGTGCGCTGCTCGCGTCTCACAAGCAAGAGGCGCACGAGCAGCAGCAGCAACGAAAAGCAGGGAGACCAGCACAAAAAGAGGAAATGAGTTAATGAAGTTCTATGGCAATTTCTAAATTTAATTGTTGAAACATTCAAAGGCCACCTGGAATTTCCATTTCATCCCCCGGGAAGCCCAGGACCAGCCAGCCAGCCGGGGGCCCTGAGTTGTGTCTCGTCAGTGCCAGCTGTTGAGGCCAACTATATGCCCTCGACTTCGCGCCTCCCCGCAAAGGTATCGGTAAATATTGAGTTAAAATGTTAAAATGCAGTTGATAAAAATGCAATGGTACCGCACTATCTGGAAGGACCACTAGGGAGCTTGTTGGGGACCGTCTCGCGGACCCTTCCCCCCCAACAAGGGGCCTAGGCATTGCTGGCTGTCTGTATGATGACGTATGGATTGCTTCGCTCAGTCAGTTTGCTCTGTCGTTGTACATATTTTTGATATATTTGCCTTTTCTACCGTGTTTCTCGCTGTTCATATCCGTAGGAAGCACACACCCAGGAGACACCTGCCCACTTCGTGATCATACTTGGTGGCGTAGGATATGCTAAATTACATTCAGTTCCACAGCTCAGATCTGTGATATTGTAACCTTGCAAGTGATTATATTTGTCCCTGCTGAAGGAAAAGGGTCTCTTGTTCGTTTCATTGGGTCTTCCTTCTTGTTGCTGCCGCATTGAATGGCTCCAACATGACTATCCCGGAGTAAACACATATTGAGGCATTTGCATTCTTGGGCTCCAGTAGAACAACATAGTCTTTACCCACATTTTACTGGTAACGCGCCTGCACTCCCAATGCAACCTGTTATCTTTTGTTATTTTCTGCACCTGGTACCGCACACTTGTAGCGAGGCAACGAGGCCAGGCGGTGGCTGCATGAAGCAGTCTTACCAATCTTTAGAAAAACGCCGAAAATTATGAATACATTCATCCTACTCATGCAGAGGGAAGAGGAAGCCACACTAAGTGAAAGAAAAGCATACTGAGCAAAATGCCTATGCTGGATTCCGTGCTCCCGTATCAATAGGTCACAGCAGGTCTATCCCTTGGAGAGGTGCTGGCCGTATTGCCGTGCTCTCTTGAATGGAACAGTGGAATGAGATGGTTAGCCTGGCCCCAACCTTGCGTTTCTTACGTCATGTATTGCATCCACAGACACTCCTAACGCGACGGTTTTCTCTTGCCTATTTGATGCACCCGCTACATTATCGGGGTCCGCAAGAGGTCCAGGGCTGTCTTAATTGGGCAAGGGTATATATAATGAAATGGAATGTGCTCGCCGTTAGGACGCCAGTTCCGGGTCATGCTATTCCCGTAAAAATTGAAGTACCATTAGGGGGATATGAACAAAGATGGGGGTTTTACTGAGCAAATGTGAAACTCGGCTAAAGCGGAAGAAAGTCAGCACGACGGGTTTCTGCGGCTGCTGGACCAGAGACTTTGTGGACCTGGTATATTCTTGAGCCGGATAGCCAGGCCTATGCAAAGCTGAGAAATAAAATTAAACATTCGAACCTAGAAATGCTAAACCAAGGTATTTGAGCAGTTAGCATTTGCAGCTTGTGGCTGCGAGGCGGGGCTTGCCCGCCAGCACAAAACTGCACGCAAATTTGGCATATGGAGATGCCCCACATATCGTGGTAAGAGACAAACTGATAAAGGGGCAGTCAAAATGATGAGATTGCTTGATTTCGTGAGGCAGTTCGTGCCAGGATTTAAAGCCTAGAGCAAAGGCAGGATAGAAGTGAATGAGGGTTTCAGCATTGATACCCACCCTTCTTGCCCTCCCTTTCACTGTTACAGTCGTTCGCCAGTCCGTCATGTGAGGTTGCTTCTGGCCTTACCTGAAGACATCAGCGGTATTAATTTATCCACTTGATAGTCGTTGGGTGCCATGATACGAAGCAGAAGGTGCTGACCGCTTTGAGTGTTGCCGTTTACCGATTAATAACTGCCTCCGGTGGGAGTCAGGTTCGTTCCCTGAAGAGTCCGTAAATCCATATGATTTCAGGAGTCATATTTTGCTCCTTTAGTTGTTATACTGAGTGGTATAGCATATCTCTCGCCTCCAAGTGAGTTGCGGCGTCATTGCAACTGATGACTGGACCACAGTCCTTTACAACAACAGCCTGAGGAGACTGTTGGTGCTGCAGATGCCATTCGTCGGGAAACGAAAAGCGGCGATTACAGCCGGTAACCGGCAAATCTGGCACTACACAGACAGGATGCAGCACCCAGTGGTGCGTGTGTTCCTGTTGCAACTAGAATGGTCACATAATTCGGCAACGTAAGATCTAGAGAAACTAGGAAAAGAAAACGTTGGGCAGAGTCGCGGAGGGGACCGACAGCCAGGAGAGGGCAACCCCAGGGCCCTCATGTAACCTAAGGTGTACTGGTGTGGACGGAAGAGATGATTAAAACTGTAAGTTCACCTCCAGCCAATCATGTGCTACTGCAAAATCGTATCATCCATGCTGTTGCAAGTGTGAGTTGATATGGGTGTTAAAATGCTCCAATAGAAGAAGCTAGAGAAGCTATGCTACAATGAATCCCACACTTCCAGGCGTAGGCGATGTCTATGCTACTACGCATTGTCCATCGTAGATATGAGGTGACCGCGGATAGCGTAAGAGGCACGTCAGCATACTCTCCTCCATCTATGCATGGACAGCGTAGGCAGTTGTACAACGCTTCCTTAGCACCCAGTAGCAAACATAACAACGAATAACTCTCACCATATCCTGGTTTTGAGCACGAAATCCACGATATTCTCTATTTTTGGTCCTTCCACACACTACAGTGCACTGTGCGTAGATGAATGATGGGTCAAATTTTGCCAAACAGCAGCCAACAACACAGAAAGAACAAAGGATCTCCGCACACACCAACTTCTGACTGTCCGCCGTAGTTGCGGCGTAGCCCCAACCTTCAGGCAGTGAATTCACCTGTCTTCGTACAGATACCGCAGTAAAAATCCAGTTTCTCAGATTGTTTGCTCCTGTTTGCTCCTGTTTTAGTGATAATTCGTTATCATTAGACCGCTCCGTTTTGCGATTTGCTAGGCATATGCAAGTATGCTAGACGCAGATGTGAAGACTCATCTCCCCATAGGGAAACCTTAAAAGGATCCCAGAAGCAAAAATATTTATTAAACACCCACAATAATGGTTTGTAGAGTAACAAGACATTGTGGTCGAGCGGGGAACGGAACCCACAAGGTGCAGGAAGGCAGGGGCCCCCGTGCGTTTAACGGGGCCCCAGGGGCCCAAAAAACAAAGAGTGGAATGTCTCTTCTAACGTGGATGCACGCAAATGATGGATGCTAGATTTATGACTAAGAGGCACTCATTTTATTCGTGCAGGTGAGTCATCAGCCTTCTCTGTTTCTGAGCAGGCTTTAGTGGTCGGATGTAAACCCACGCTGCTTATGGAGCAGGAGCAGCAGCAGCAGTGGGAACGCCAGCATCCGCCTAACAGAAGCTGAAAACGTTGTTTTCACAGCCACTGCTTTCTTGTGGATTGGCTTCGGGTGTATCGACGGCGAAAGACCAACATTCGTAGCTCTTCTTTTGCGCTACTTCACGCAGTGCTTACTTAATTTCTCTGCAGGACGCAGAAAGCAGCTCAACGAGGACTAGCACCAGCAGCTGCAGCCATATCAACTGACGGAGCAGCCAGGGTGCTGGCGACTCTGTGGGGGCCACAGTGCCCTTTCCTGCAGCAGAAGCAGCAGCAGCAGCAACAGCAACAGCAGCAGGATATTCAGTGGCAGACACATCCGGCTTGTAAGCAGGTCCACCTTTGCTCCGTGCCTTCCGGAGGTGTACCTGCTTCCAGACAGCAGCTGCTTGCACATCAGCCGCAACAGCAACAGCGACAGGGGCACCAGCAGAGATGGCTAAAGCAGCTGGAACTGAGTAACCCTGAAGGCGAAGTTTATCTGTTTGGCGGCAACAACCGCCAGCAGCTTCCGCCGAGCAGATACACTACTCCCTGCAGAGCGTGCAGCTCCGTTAGTAACTCCTGACGTACCCCAGCTGCAGCGTAAGCTGTAGGACGAGCAGCAGCAGCAGGAGCGGCAGGAGTGTTGCACTTGCTTGTGGTTTTTCCCAAGATGAAATTTGGGGCGAAGCTGCGCAGCTATGCGGTTCCCGAGTGGCAGCAGCACTATGTAGACTATCAATGTCTCAAGGCTCTTTTGAAGCAGCAAAGGAAAAAGATAGAGACCTCCAACTCCCCAGGATACCTCTCCAAACTGCTGCCTGCCAGTTGGCAGTAGGTGCTGTTGTTCCTGCTGCTACTGCCCCTGCCGCCGTGCCCGCTGCTGCTCTTACTGCTCCTTCTCATGTTTTTTGTTTGTCCTGCTGGTATTAATTGCTGACTGCAGTGGCGCGTGGGTCTCCGTGTCAGCTGCAGCCTGTTGCCGGTCCTGTGGCTTCTGTTGGCGTTGCCTGCTGCAGGTTAACTCCTGAAAAGGGTTCAAGTGGTGGGGACGGCATAGGTGGGTGCAGCTTTCCGTACACCGAGGTGTTTTGTTGTTGGCTGCATGCTTGAGGGATGCCATGCCCGTTCTAGTTCATCTGGCGCGGTGCCCCTGTACTGTTGTTGCGTGGCTCTCCTCGTCTGCTCGCCCTCTGCTCCAGTCTAACTGTCTGCCGTCCTCTATTTCGTCCGCGTATATATACATGTATTGTATAGTGCATTCGTTTGCTTTCTACACAGCATAGTGGAATATTATATATACGTATTGGATACGCTGGTGCGTAGGCTTCTGTATACGTATAGGTATCTGTATGGATGTCTGTATATACATCAGTATATATTCGTGTAGATACACCAGCAGCGCCATGCACAAGAGTACTAGCGGTGCAAATGGATTCTCACCTGTGGCTTTTAGTTTTTGCGAGTTATTCGCAATGAATTGCTGAATAGGTAGCAAACTATCTGGACAGGGAGGTAGATGGCTAAAGGGCTAGAACGCTGGCTATTCGCCTGTCTGCGTGATACAACCATTTAAGCTGTTTTCCCTAGTTGCCGACTGCATCGGCAGGTGGTTGCCGTTGGCCAGCCGCAGCTGCTGTCTGCATGCATGCAGCGGACCCCGAAACCCTCTGCAGTGTACAGAGCAATGCTCGTTTTCTCCTTCTCTCGCCGTTCTTCAGGTCTTCCTCTCTCTGCTGGAGTGAAGGCCCCAGATGCCAGGGCAGTGCTGTTGGCAACTACGCATGCGAAGCCGTCGCAACATCGACACCAGCAGCCAGGTTTTGCTTCTTTCAAGGAGCCACTTCTGCAGAATGAGCGCCAGCCGCAACAGGAGGAGCAGGTGCAGCAGCCACAGCTGGAGGCGGAGCACCGCAGTGTCTCCTCAGGCGCTGCTACAGACGAACAGGCTGAGGGCGCCTCCATGAGAACGGAGACCCTCAGGGCGAAGTGTGTTGCTGCCTTCGGCGCTGCTATTGAAAATGAGAAGACGAAAGTTGCGGCTTTCTTTAGTAGGGGAGGGAAAGCAGCAGTGGCAGCTCCACAACAGCACCAGCTGTACAGACAGTCCAGATGTTCCCGTAAAATACAGCACAACACCCGTTGCCTCTACGGGGTGCCCAGTCGCGCTGCTAAGTTGCAATGAGACACCTGCAGCACCGGCTACTGCATTAGCAGCGGTGGCTGCAGCAAAGGCGGTTTTGGCACTGCAACCCCCGCTGCGCCAGTGCCTCTCACCGCATCCGCAGCAGCCGGGGCCGCAGCACCTCCTGCGTTTTTAACTAATTGCGGATCTGCTGCGTTTGCTCAGGAGAGGAGTTGGGGTTTCTAGAAGACAAGCTGAAGGCGGTGGCGGCGGAGCTAAGGGCCCTCAATGCCGCGCGAAAGCGAAGACAATCGGCAAGAGGGGGGACGTCTGGAGGCGACAATCAGGAAACTCTGACGGAGACCACCTCCTCAGCAATTGCTGTGCCACTTTATCCAGGCAATGCTGCTCCTCCTGCTGCTGACAGCACTGAAGAGAAGGCGCTCAGCAGCCAGGTGTAACTCCAGAAGGCCCTTCCGTCTTCTGTTCCCTCCGGATGCTCATCATCATCCACATCAACAGCCCAACGCACCACGGCTGTCTCTCGTGCTCTGGAGGCTTAGCTGCTGTTTCCTTATCGAACGCCTTTGCTGTTTCCACTTTCTCCGGGGCGTTCGCTGCTGTCTCTCTTCCCCTTGTGTCGTAGCCGCTGTCTTGCTTTACGGTTGTGCCCTCGATGCTGTTTCCTTTTCTAATGTGCCTTACACGTGGTACTGTACTGGCATTGTGCGTATTTGACTTTTGGAATTATGCATATTATATTGGCAAGGGACTGCCTGCCTCCGTCCCCTCGTTATCCTCAGCACATGCTGGCGGCCCTATGCGTTTTTTGGCAGCCTCCTCTGTTGCACGCATGCCTCGGTGCTTATGTCTGCCGGGGGTAATCTGTGGCATGGATTCTCTTGCATGGAGTCTCTTGCATGGGATATCTCTGCAATTGTGGCGGGCGACTCAGGATGCGGCCTATTTGAGGCGCCTCGAGCGGATTTTACTGTTGTTGCTAGACACGCTGGAGAAGCTCGAGGTGTACAGACGGCTCAATCTTCTGGCTTTGTGGAAGGCTTTGAAGAAGAGAGACAAGCAGCTGCAGCTCCCTAAGGGGACAGCAGTGAGAGATTTCGAAAAGATAACCACTTTCTTCAACCAACAAATCCGCATACCCCCAAAGACAAGAGTGCGGCAATCTCCCTTGGCTGTTATCGCGTTGTCTTTGGATATCCTTTAGCATATCCTTGGACGTCGGCCTCTGCGCGCCTTTGCATGTGCTCGTTCGGTGGTTCGTTTAATTTCTTTCTGCTTGTCTGCTTGTCAACTTTGTTTGTCTCGCGTTTGATGTCATGGTTGGCTTCGATTGTTCGCGGAGTTTGGTGATGTTGACACAGTGGGTGTCTCCAGTTTCTGCCCACGGTTGGAGCAAGAGCCGTTTTTTCATGGTCGTGTGTCTGTATTTCTCCGTCTTTGCATGTCTTTGTCTGCCGCTGTTGCTCATATCTGTATTTTCCCTCCATTTTCGCCCATTATGAGTATATTTGGTTTAGCTTTGTGTGTCTCTTTTGCAAGCCTTTTTGTGAATTCTGGTTGTGTGTATGCCTTTTACTTTCTGCTGTGCGTCTATCACCTTGCCCGCTCTTTGGTTGCTGCTCGCCTGCACCTGTCAATGTGTCTCCTAGTCTCCTTTTTGGTTTTTGTTTGCGTGCAGCGGGCCGCAAGGACCCTCTACAGGCGGGTGGCTGGGGAGGACTCGGATTTGTCTTTGGAGGTGTTGCCTCTGCGGACGCATGAGGGCCTAGGAGTGGGTAGAAAACAGCGCTTTTAGACATCATCTGTTTTCACTGCTGCAGGTGCTTTTGCTGTTTCTCTCCCTCTCTCCCGTGTTACTTCGTCTTGGCCTGCTTCGGTTGAAAACCCGTGGAGAAAAGCCACAGAGCAGCACTGTGCCTCCGTTATGCCTGGCGGCTTCTCAGGGAGCGTACTTCCGTCAGGAGGCAAGGGTCTCCTTTCTTGTTGGCTGTCTGGCGGTGCTGGCGCTGCTGACTGCCGCTCTGCTGCTGCTGCCCATGCCACCCGCGACTCCTTTCGATTACGACGGCCTCATGGCAGTCTTTCCTCTCTTCAGGTGAAGGGGAAGAGCCGCTGGCTGTTGCACGCAGACCCACACTTCGTCTGTGTGTCTCTGGGGTTCCCGCTTATAGTCTGTTCCGCCACTTTTTGTCCCCGCCTGCTGGCTTTCCGCACGTGTCTCTGTCTTCAGTAGCTGTTTTCCCCTTTCGTGCCGTCTATTTTTCTTCGCGTCTCGCCAGTGATTGCCCTGCATCTCTAGGGGTCCCTTGACGGGTTACCTATCTAATGCTGTCGTGATCGAAGAGTATATACTGTCTCCCCCTGTCTTTAAGGACCTTCTGCGCCTCTTTCCCCATCCTTTGGGGGCCTCCAATTATGCGCCGCCTATCTACGGAGGTGCTCCCTGTTGTTGCAGGCTGGCGTTTGCCTGGTCTTTCGTCTGGTTCGCCACTGCGTCAGCCATGGCCGTGATGGAGCACTACGGTGTCAACTACCGGTAGGCCCCTGCACACCTGAGGTATACATAAACCACATGTGTGCGTACACTGCCGGTGCGCACGAGCGGCACGAACGCTGGAAGCACTGGGAAGGCACGCGGGGACTTATTAGGGTTTGTACGACTATTGCCTAGAAACGTGCAGCAGCTTTGGATCGGGAACATGACAACACCTCTGATGCATAAAAAAAAAAAGGAGCCTCCCCAAGGTACACAAAGTGCTTCGCCGATTGCTGCATCATCAGCGTATCGAGCTGCAGTGTGTGCGGTGTTTGGCGCTGGACGGCGCTTTGCAGCTTTCTGCTGGACCTGGCGCCCAGGGGACAGGCCTCCAGTGTGTCTTTCTTCTATACAGCTGCTCTTCAATTTGTCTTGACCATCGCCACTTGCGCTCTTTACCTCGTTGACTCCAAACTCCGGCTCCTCGGGCACAGCCAGAAGTGAGGACCCATGTTGCGGCTGCGGCTGCACGTGCCGCAGCTTCTCTGTACAACCTCTCTTGTTGCTCGTTGGCGACACGCATCAACTCCACTGCAGCAACGACTACAGCAACAACAGCAACAGCAGCAGGAATAGAAACGGCTCCTCGGATCATGGCGGGGTACGAAACGGCATGCGTTGTGCTGTGCTCGTTGTGGATGCAGTTATCACCTTTACCCCTTGGGTCTCCTGCTGCTGCAACTGTTGCTGCTTGTGTTTCCCTCCCGCTCCCTTTCTTATAAGGCGAGGCGACAGGTCTTTGGGGCCTTTTTTGCGGTGTTGAAAGCCGGGTGTGCTCGCTGGCTGCACCTACAACACCTTCTAGTAAACTGCATTATGCCCGCAAGTTAAGCTGCCTCAGCTTTCATTGCTGCTGCTGCTGAGGTCCCCAGAGACTTGCTAGCCGCTCAACAGGCGAGGCGTTGCCGTTGCTGCACTGTGGTTGCTACTGCTGCTTTTCTTATAGCGTTTTTGCTGTACGCGACGTGAAGCTCGTTTCCAATATCATAGGGGATGTCCTGACGTCTCTTGCCAAACCCCTCGGGGACCTGCAATATCTCCTTTGCTACTTGAGGTATTCTGCTGTTGCTTCTGCTGTTGCTGCTGCTTTTTGTCTTCTTTCTGCGATTGCGTCTGCTGGTCGCTTGCGCGTGCCCTTCCATCCTGTGCTGCTCGAACACCTAGCATCTTCCTTGTGGTAGAGTACGCAAATAATTTTTTCTGCTGCCGGTGCTGTCTTCGTTGCTGCTGCTGCTGCATGATGGTAGATCCGATCTGTCTGCTGCTGCTTTGGCCTGTTATTTGTCTGTTGTGGTGAGGTGAATCTGAATCGGGCGACGTTGGTGCTGAGTTTCTATAGAGTCTTTGCTGCTGCGCTGTGCTGCTGCTGCAGCAAGGGCATGGACAACAATGGCCCGGCGCAGTGTTACGGTGAGCCCCTTTATGCCCTTCTGCACGCCTGGCCGTCTGTGCGCGACTGTTGGTATCCGCGCAACAGCTTCAGGGGAAGACAAAATGTCTATACATGCTGCATTAGCCGTCCTGCTGCTGCTGCTGTTAGTATTGCTATTGTAGTTGCTGCGGAGTTTGGCATTCGTAGGGGACTCTGTTGTGCGGCCGCTGTTGCTGGGCCTGCCCTTCTACCTCCGACTGTGTCAATGCTTTATCAGGTATCTAAGTGCACTTTAGCACATCTTGTTGCTCAGCACTGAGACTTCTTGGCATACCAAAACCAAATGCTCGTCGACCCGGACGGTCCTGAAACACCGGCACTCAAGGCAAACTAACCTTCGAACTGCAGGAATTGGGTGCTGCATTGACCCTGCAAATCCTCTTAAGACGCATATAAGCGTGCACATCAAGATGTGCACGCTTTTATGCGTCTTAAGAGGATTTGCACCGAATCTATAGATTGTGTATTTATATGGTGTACTTGTTGAAATGACTTTTTATTACCGAGTTTAGCTGTTGTTAGCGGCACGGCGACACTGTTCCCCATACCTGCATGCTGGGCTGTATCGACACATCTCTTGCACCCTGGCTAACGTTACGGGTATGCGCAGGTTCAGATTGTCAGAGCCTGGAGCTGGGCTCATTCACGTGATGAACATGGCCAAATACGCATGCGGCATTCTAGTTCTCATTACAACCAACGTCCCTTGGTAAACAAGTTCCACACACGTTGCATGCGTGCAAGCACGCACGCATGCATGCGTGCATCCGATTTGTTTGCGTGCTAGGGGTGTTGGCGTTTGTCCTGAAGGTTGCCAGCAGGCAGGCTTTCTGATGCAGTGGTTGTGCGTATTAAGTGTTGTGCCTAAATACCATCTTTTGTCTGTTCCTTCCTGGGGTACTTTGCACATTTGAAAACAGCTACTAAAAGTGCGTGTATGCATGCATATGTGTTAAGTGCATATGTATGTCCATTTATACACGTGTATAGGAATATATATCTGTACGATGTTATGCCAACATGTGTACTTCTGCAGGCACATACATTACATTTGCATGAGAATATGTACATCAATAAATGTGCAATGCATACGTACGCGTGGGCATTTGTGTCTCTGCAGTATGCGTTCATGGTGACTCTCATGCGCTTATACTTGTGTACGTATGTAGTATGTGATAATAGATACATATGCTTACATCGGCATTTGCATACAATGTACGTATGCTCTCATATATGTGAGTGTCCCTGTGGTTTAGGTTGGATTTGGGGGTTAGCGTGTACGCGATGTGCCTGTTGTGGGTTTTCTCGTATTGTCTGGGGTCACTCTTCATGCTGTACTGGGACGTGCGGGTGGACTGGGGCTTATTGCCGACTCCGGATCGCTTCATTCGGTACGTTCCGGGCAGCAGCAGTTGGGGAGTAACTTAAAATGTAACAATTTCCCGAATGTGTAATGACAGTAACCTACACAAAATGCTGAACTTCACCTTCAAGTGTAACACTGAACGCACGACCCGCATGAGTTTAGTATTAGCAGTAGCAGCAGCACGACAGCAGTGGTGGCACCAGTGGCAGCACCATAACTGATTTGTGGGACTGCACAGCGCAGTCCTGTTGAAATCCCCGAGACACATACGGAAGTACAGTTGAAGGGCCTTCAGATGTTGCATCGGCTTCAGAGCGGCACTGCAGAGCCAGAGCCCGTGGCTGCCTCTTTTGAAAGAGGGGAATGAGAAGGGGGAAGAAAAGATTCCGTTTTTGTGGGAGCTGCTGCTTCTGCTTGGTGCTGCATGCAGCATGCAAGGTCGGCTGATGTACCCAACGTGGCTGTACGGTGCGATAGCAGTGACGAACGCAGTGAGTTTGGCGTCTCTCTTCGAAGCATTTGGCATATAACTAAGATTGATTAAGAAGTGCCCCTTATTCTATTGACACCGCTGCAACACCGAACAAGCAGGCACGCGGGAATTTCACGATGCAAACTGCTTTTGAGGGTTGGCTAAGGCCGAAGCTGCAGACAGTACAGGCGGACACAATAACAAATATGCCATGGTGTATTGCAAGTGCCTCCTGCACTGTCTTCTGTTCTGCGTAGATGGGTCGCCTCACTTGGGCGATGACTCTGATGCCGATTTCCCTTGTGGGCAACAAGGTAAGCTGGGCTACGCATAACGCTCTAATCCAATTCCACAAAGAGCAACAGGGATAACGGCAGTACCAGCAGCTGCACCAGCAGTATCAGTGGCAGCAGCGGCAGCAGTTGCAGTAGTAGCGAAAGCAGCCATATTGGGTTAGTGGCCGCTTTTACCCTTTCTGGCCGGCGTTGAATAAGCGGACATTGTGTTTGGTGTGTTCTATGCAGTCGCTAAGCGGCAATTTGGTGTTGTTGTTCATATCTGTCGTTGAAATCATGAGACGCGGGGCGGTGAGGAACTTGGCACTTGCCTTGTTGTGCAGCTGCTTCGCACCTACATGGATCCCTTTTCTCTCTGTCGTATTTTCCCCCCCGCTGGCGTGCTGGCCTCGTAAAGGCATAAACATTAGACAAGTGTGTGTTGCTGCAGTGGGCCGTGCTTCGACTGGAGAACGAGCATGTCAACAACTCTTCGCGATTCCGAGCCATCTTATGGGTGCGGCGACAGTCTCTTCCATGCGGCTTGGGACTGTGGAAGCTGCTGTTCTTCGTGCCAGGCTCACCGTTACTCGTTAGAATCTGTTTGTGTGTTGTCCATGGGTGTCTGTATGCGCTCCCCAAGGAACGGTGTGCAAGCACTTCTGCATGCAACAGTCTTATTGGTACGGTTGTGGCAGTGCAGGGTTATGTCACAGTGTCTGTCGCTTTTTGCTGTTGCTACGGACCCTCCAGGTGCCGCCGCTGCATCAGACGCGCCTCGAAGTGCTTGAAGGTGACCCGCTAATTCACACAAGTACTCCTGTGACCGTCTCCGGCACCCATGCGACCCCCTCCTACAGGGCCCCGCCCGCAGGAGACAGTGGCAAACAGTCGCCGTAATAAGGACCACATCGTGGCGAAAATTCTAACCCACGGCACCGTTCTTTATCCGTAGGGGCGTGCAGCCTCAAACAGAGCTGAACGTATCAATGATGATACTGCAAATACATGCAGCGCTTTCGCATGGCCCTGGTCCTGGTGCATGCACCACTCGCACGCCACCCGAGCCGATTCATGTACTACGCCTCCTTCCACTGTGCATGCGCGGGCCCCTGAAGAACCCGAAAGGGATTGCTGTATGCTTGTGCGTGCATGCATGTAAACACTCTCACATACACGCATCTGAATCCTTCTCGCACTTGCGTGTGTCTAAGTTTGCGCTATACATATCGCCAAACGAGCACATGAATTCGTCCCTATGTACTGATGCATATATACTTCAGTATATCAAATGCATTACTGTATATAAGTGCATTTGGTATACTGATGAGAATATACACATGTGCATATTACATACATACATTTCTGTTGTGTTGTTTTGCACGAGTGAGCGTCGGCTCCAAGCAGATATTCGCAGAACCCGAGTGTGTTTAGAATACGTAGGGCTGATATGTTCGTGCATGGATGCGTGCGTGCGCATGCATATGCGCATGGGTGTATATACGCATCGTACGGGTGGATGCATGCGTGTGAGTTCGCGTTGGTGGACTCGCAGGTGTGGGTACCCTGGATTTGGGCCCCCTAGCGTCATCCCCTGCAGGGCATTCACTGATGCCCCCCGGGGAGTATCTGCTTAATGGTGTGCGAATAATATACATGACGCATAACATATAAAATGTGCATTCATCCATTTTAAAGAATGATGTATCCAACATATTACTGAAAGGGTGTGGGGCCATCGCAGCAGCAATGCGCTGTACGTCCTGCAGCTGTAATACTGCTGTGCTGGTTGTGCTCTATATATATCCCTTTGGTCTCTGCACTGTGATTTGCGGCTGCCACCCTGCCAGCGCTGAGCCTTGGGGGACAGTTGAGCGGCCACAGCTCAAGGCCTTCGGGGCTGTCTTGTCGCATGCAGGTGCCTTATCGTATGGGGACTCACCGGCATCCTGAGGTCTCTCTCCTTGCGTTTGTTTTTGTTCGGCCAAGTGTTGTTGGCACGCGATGCAGAAGCGTGTGACCACACACATCACTCTGCATCCATGCATGCACACTACACAGAAATAGTCTTTACAATGCGGTGTACTGCCTTCGGTTTAGTTTGGCGCCAGCAGCTACGAGAACCAAGCCAAGAGGGGCAATCGACAAAAGAGCGGCTGCGGCAGAAGTTCCAGCAGGAGGCAAACAGGCCTGTGCTGCGCTGCTGTAGTACGTGCCGCTTGTTTGCTCCTACGCCGTCTTTGTCTTCCGCATGCATTTCAATGAGAACCGCAGCACGGAGTATTCCTCCTTGTGTTCTAGCTACTGTACATTTGTACCAAAATTATAGTTGCCATCACCTCGATACAGCCATAAAAGGCATACACGTGCAAGTTCCTCAGTGGCCTATACGGTTAGTGCGCATCATTAGCATGGTGGTTTTCGTACACCCTCTGGAGCAGAGTAGCAGCAAATGGACTACTGCTATTGGGAAGCGGAGCTCAGCTGAAGGCATCCTACCTACTCACGAGAACAATAAAGCAGTTGTTCTTCTGCAGAACAGCACTTGCGTATTGTCGACCTGTATAGGAGACCGGAAGGGAGAAGTGGATTCCAAGTATACAGCTGCTTTTAACAGTGCAACCACTTGCTATGCGTGCTTCTGGTCAAGGCATGCAGTGGTTAGCAGAATCTGGTGTCTTCGGGGTACCTGTTAAGCACGTAGGAGGAGAGACAGTCTGTCGTCCGAGTTGGGGGAGCACGCTGATATATTTTTTTTGTTAAGTTTGCTGGTGAGGGCTGAGGAAGTCTAACAACTATCCACGGTTGCAGTTGATGAATGAACAGGCGAGAGACTGGGTCTTTTTGCAACCTCCAGCCGCACTCATGGTGAAACTGCAGCAACACATGGATTGCTGCAGCTATGGATGGACTGTCCCATTGTCTGCGCAGATTCACTCGTCTCTACCACTGTGTTCAGGTAGTCCTTAGCTAAAAGGTTAGTTAGTCGAGGTGGCCAGTTGCTGTTGGATGTTTCTTGTATCTAACAGACTGCTCGACTCCACTGCACAAGCATGCATGAAACAATACATTTGAGTAGAACCTAGTGGTGTATATGCTCCGAGCTCTGCGTGCACGTGGGAACTTGAATGCATAATCAGCGTTTTAATCAATTTTCCGAACGCGCGAAGGACGAGGTACCAGAAAACCTTCGCAGTAGCACAGAAGGATAGCCCTCTTCCTATTTTCGACATTGTATTAATACTAATTCCATATATTTAAATAATTGGTCTGTATGTGCGAGGAACAAGGTGGCTCGTCCGCACGTGACACCCCAGACCGGACCGGAAGTACCACAACATGGAGAACAGCAACGCGAACTGAACCAACCATTCCACATTAGAATCCTCGTGGTTGATTACACGAACAATTTTACTTCATTTCCAATGGTGGTGAAAAGGAATAAGGATTCAGAGGAGAAATAAGCTGCGAGGTCTGAAACTGGTCTGCCCATCGGTATGCATCACCGGGGCTGCGTTGAGCAGCCGGAGTGTCTGTGGTTCCTTTTCTCTCGTCTCCGGCACTTCGATTGTTTCTTCTAGTGAATATTATTAGCGTGTTAGTGTTCTTAATGGTACTTTTACATTTTGGGGGGAACTGAATCAGCGTTTTGTTTCAATTTGGAACCGAGTTGGTGGGTGTGCCCTGGCCAACTGGCGGCTGCTGTGCGGCGCAGTGACCGCCGTGCAGGAGAAGTGTAGTGGTAGTGCACAAAGCGAAGGTCAGCTGAACACTACAAGAAGCCTACGGAGTAGGAGGAGCAACGGGAGTTAAAGAGCGTATTATCTCCTCTCTGTCTGCAAGGCAGTAATAAAGCCCCAAACGGGGGTCGATTATTTGTGTCATTGGGACAACACAAACCCCGTTTGGACTCCCGAAGGCTCATCGGCAGTAACGCGGCATCCTGTGTCTCGCTCATACTCCTACGGTAGCTCCAACGTCTCTCTTCTGGCCTTATCTGTAGTTCCAACCGACACCACAATGGCCGATATCCACTCGGAGTCGGATGACGAGTGCATCTGCATGGGTTCCGATGAGGCCCGCCGGTCCCGAGGACCTAAGCAAGGGGTCTTGTTCTTGGAGCCATCCCTGATGCCGTCTCCAGCTATATTTGAGCAGAAGTACATATGCAGCAGAACACAAGATAATGCAGGCGACACGGAATTGGTTGGATTCAACAACAGTCTCCGCCCCGTGTCCAGTTCATCTGCTGCGGCCGGCAATATAGGAGGCTGCGGCTCACCTGCTGCTGCTGCCAAGCGCCGTGCCTTAGAGAACCTCGAGCGTCAGCGGGCTCAGCAGACAGAAGGCCAAAACATTCTTAGCTCCCCCAAGATCTGCGGGCAGCCGAAGTGAGTTGTGGTTGGTTTCGGGCCTCTTGAGGGCCTGTGTTTCTGCTGCATCTATGACGCTGTGTGCATTCATGAGCTGGGAAGCTGCAGTTGGCGTTGAATGACGAAAATCACTGGGGGGAGGAATGAGGAATTTCCTTGCGTTTGGGGGCCAGCAGCAGCAGTAAACCCTCTGCAGGCCTGGTTGTCGCGCCTGTGTTTGCCATTGCAGACGGCAGGACTCCCGAGCTCTGCAGAAGACCACCTGTATCTTGAGACCTGAAGAGAAAGTCCTGGACGTGCGCCGTCTTGACTTTGGCCAGCAACTCCCAATCAGAGCTCGAGGACGGCCAGCAGCAGCAGGCCGCGACGCGTCACGAGGCCAACTTCCGCCTGTTGGCGACGAGGCCCTCTGGGGTGGAGCGTTTAAGGAGGCGCCTGCATGGCTGCCTTTGCCAGGTGGATGTTTAGGCTTTTGGCCCCGGACATTAAGCATTACTTGCTAAAAGCTGGACTGCGTCGGATGTGAGGGTGACACCATCGACAGAATCGAGAGACGGTAGTTTTTCATCAGACGCTGCTGGTTGTCCTTTTCTCTGAACTGAACAGATACATCGGTGAACGCCCAGGGGCAGAAGGTAGAGTGGCTCAGGCATGCGCTTTACGGTGTGGGGACGTTCCTGGACGTTGAGCGGTGAGCCTTCTTAGGCAGGTGATTGGGTTCGATCCTCTCTGCCTCAAATTTCATGGCGGCTGCTGGTGCTTGTTGAGGCTGCAAAATCTGCTGCAGCATCAGCTGCAGCTCTTGCTGCAGCTGATGTAGCACGCATGATTCAGAGCCATCATTAATCAGCAGCAGCCCTTTGCTGCTCGGCCGAGCTGCTTCGCTGCTGCCCATTTGTCTGCAGAGCTCACGAGTACGTTGAGTGCGTCAAGGCTTTGGGGCGACAGCGACGTTTGAAGGCATACGGGCGGCACGAGGATTTGCGAGAGAAGTTTCAAAGGAGGCCCGATGGTACGTTTTGCTGCTGTTGCTGATCCATCAACGTCCTACCCCCAAACGTGTTTACTGCCGCCTACCGTCTGACTATACCTGTTCTCATCGGGACCCTGTCTTGCGTTAGCGTACCTTAAGAGGAGCTCGACTAATTATTGCAGTTCCGTTGCCTTGTGGGGGTGTGGGGTACGGGGGGGCCAGAATGGAGATTCTGGTGTAAAGGCGTTGGGGGCAAACACTTCGTGACGAAACGCGTGAAACTGCCGAAGTTCAGCAGGGAGTCGGACTTCATCGGGCTCGTGTATCCTTACCCCCGTGGTCAGGTAAGCAAACAGTTGCGTTGCTTGATCAAGCGTTAAGAACCTGTCCTTTTTGCCATCGGTACTTTCTTTTGTGGCTGCTCCCAAGCGTCCGTGCATCCATGCTGCTGTTCCGAGGGGATCCCTATTTGTGCCTGGTGGGGGTGCCTTCGCAGCTAAAGCCGGAAGACATCCTGCTGCCACGGGAGTCCTTGACAGGAGTCTTTGGTCACGTAAAAGACTTGAGGGGACTGCTGGCGCAGGAAGGGCTGAAACCAACGAGCCAGTGTACCGCCAAAGTGATCGTTTCCCTGAAGGAGCAGGTGCGCGCGTGTCTTCCTGACACTGCAGGGAGCTCCCGAGTTTTGCACTGCACATTAGCAGCACCAGTCTTTAAATGCCCACCACTCTTTCCCAGCTAGTGCCGCTTCTGTGGGAGGCGGGTGAAAGCCGACGCAGCACGAGCGTACCCGAGTGGCAACGCTTCCCGGGGGCTAATGTAGACAGAGGGGACGCGTTTGCAACGGAAACGGGCAGGCCATTCAGGATTATGTCGGGGGTTTTGTGCTTTGCGGTGGGGTTATTCCGTCTCTCAGATCATTCGATGTATGGAGGGAAGACAGAACTTCATTGCTGTTGAGAAGTGTAGTCCAACGCACACTGTGCAGCTGGCGGAGGAGGAACATCGAGAGCGGGTGGGACTCGCAGGCCAGGGGGCCCCACAGCACTTCAGAGCTGTTGCTTCTCTAGGCGAATATGACGCCCTGCCTGTGGCTACCATATTGGGGCCTCCGTATGGGGGAGTCTTGCGCCCTGCAGGAGAGCTAGCCCTGATGCAGGTGGGTGTACAGGGCAGCCATTGGCGGTCTAGGGAAGGGCTGTTCTCATTGCCTTACACAACACGCCTACTGTCACGCCGTACCCACGGTACACTGTACAGATACATCAGAGGAAGGAAAAGAAAACACCCTGCAGCTACGCTGAACGTCGATGGTGTATTTTGAGGTTTGCTTTATTCGCCGTCGTGTTATGGAGGGTGGCGTTTTACAGTCTAAGTTAAGTGTAAGTACTGTGTATTTTCATATGAGAGGGCACTCAACAATCCTCCACCCTTTTGCCCATCTCGCAGATCATTCACGACCAAATGAGAAATATTCAGGGGCCTCCGCGGCAGTGTTATGCATTCCGTATCGACAATCTGGGTTGCATCGGCGAGTGGGAGGCGCAGGAAGACAGGGCAGAAGGTATGCTTGTAAGCATACACTCAGCCCATTATGTTTAGAAAACATCAACAATCCTTCGACATATCTGTTAGATTGGGAGAGGGTCACCAGCGGATGTCAGATTATACGTCGCTAGTTATTCAGTGTGCCGATCCAGCGCATTTGGGTGTCACAGTTACCGCCTTGTGGGTTTTGGAAAAGCCACAAGGAGTTGGTAGGATCTAGGGGAACGATGCCGGCTGACCAGTAGTCTGTTCCGAGCACAGAGCACCACCATGCATAGTATTTTTCACGATTGGGGTGTGGGTCTGCTCAGTGGCTTACGGTTAGCCGCTCTCAGTACCCGTACCTTGAATTCAGGGTGTATCGAGACTGCGGAAGTGTACAGTGTGCTTAAAGGGTTCCTGATGTGCCCATTTGGTACAGCAGGAGGAGAAACATTCTATTGAAACATCAAGTGTGTGCTATTCTTTCGCCGCAGCAAGAAGAGGCTTGGAAACCGATATTGATTCGGAAGACCCGGAGAATTCCATCTCCGGAGACGGACTTGAAGAGGCTTGGGATGTGAGGCGACGGGCGGATTGGGTTGTTTAGCTGTTTATTGTTGTGTGCAGCAGATTGCGTCTCTCCGGCATCCGCTTCTAACTGTTCTTTTCAGTGTTCTAGTGGCCACCACCTTGGCCCGTCCTAACTGCAGGGTACAGGCATTCTGTATACTCAGATGTTTGTGCCATAGTCTTTCTTTGCTGCTGCTGTGCCCACCTCCCTCTGCTCCCGCACCGTCCGCACGGCATGTTCTCTGCAATATGCAGGGGGGAACCAAGCCGCTCGCCAGCCTCGACGAAATCCACAACTATGTCCAGAGGACAATGAACAAACTAGCATCGTGTAGAACCTTCGAAGAAGCCACGCAAATAGGTAGTTTCTTTGTACTCAACAATTTCTGTTACTCCCTTGACACTTTGAAGCTGCAGCGCTGGACTGCATTCAGTGGGTCCTGCTGGTGTGGAACTTTGCAGCTCCTGTCACTCGCAACGCGAGACATGGGGGCGAGTTTGCCTGCAAACTGGGATGGTCAGTGGGCCCACCGCACGTGCTTCATGCTGCTAGGGCTTGGGGGTTTTCGTTGTATAGGAGGAAGTGGATGAACGTGGGTTGGCTGTGTGACAGAAAGGGACTTTTGCATGAACGACCCTGACATCCGCATGGATGGAGGCAGCAGTTCGGAGCCTGATTACCCCGAATTGGACGCGATGGACTACCGGAGTGAATACTCTATGATGAACGATGCCCACGGCTCGTCCAACGTAAGACCTTCCCTGGAGTGGCTGCAGCACTGCCCTCTAAGGCCTCCAGAAGAGCCGAAAGCACAGAGAGGCTATCTTGCCCTCGCGGCCGGTATACAAGTTGTCAAATCCTTTTGTCGGTTGCTGTTTGGAAGCTTCGGTAGGGGGATTCGCTTCGGTGTACACATGCCCATGGGGAAATGTTTTGATGCTTTTTTGTACACTTTGGAAGTCCCTCTCGATTATCTGTGTGGCTTCGGTTGAAGGCAGTGCTGCTGCGTTTGCTACTGTACGACCGTTCTGGTGCTGCATTTGTTCGGTTGACCCTTGGCCGTAGGTAGGCGACGTCAACAATTGCCACACGCTTATGGTGATCATTGCTGGCCTCCCCTTTTTCTTTCCCGTAACAAACCGGCCTGTGCGGAACGGTGAAGAACTTCTGCTGTCTTATGGCCCTCACTACTGGACGGTACGGTGGCACTGGTCTCGTGGCTATACCGTCTCACTGGCCATCATTTTGGGCTTCTGTTTAGTCGGGGGGAGGCTGTTTGCTCATAGGGAGATAGCCGTCAGGGAAGCATTTTAGTCGTTAGTTTATCACGAGAAGTGTGGCCGCGGCTGTGAAAGATAGTCCTCTTTGTGTCCACTCGGTTGAGTGAGGGTTTTTAATCTGCCACTAGCTGTAGAGCCTCCCTGCCTGTACTGTGGAGGCCTGTCTGGGTGAGCCTGCTGATGGAAGGGGCAACAACTCGCCATGCCGTGAATGCGCTGCAGGGAAATCAATCTCTTGAGTCGTTTCTGTCCGCCACCTTCCTGCAGATGAAGGCGATGCTGAATTTGTCCTTTCAGAATAAACGAGACGAAATCGGAAGAGCGGAAGATGTCAGAGACGGCACAGTGCGCCTCGATAAGTCTCTGGTGAGGAACTGGAAAACTTGCATTCAGTGCACTGCCGCTCACTGCCTCAACCGGAAGCTCAAAACCCTACACCCTAGACCTGTTGCCACTGCCCCACCGAGGAATTCGGGTTGTGCATCCTTGGTGATGACTGAAGATAATAACTAGAGAGTTTAATACGGCTTGTACTAGGGCGGATTAGCACCCCGCAGGATAGGGTTGCCTTACGTGCCGGCCAGGGCTGGATCCTTTCAAGTGCTTCTTTTCTTTGTGGACCTTCAGGCCGACGAACGAGCTGCGGCTGACGTTGTCGAGCTGCTTGAGCGGCTGCACTTGTGCGAGGGTTTGACGGAGCAGCGGACTAGGGCTAGGGAATGGGTAGTTGAGCTCAGAGACCGGCTGCACCAGGAAGGCAGGGGACAGGCAGTGCTAGGGGCTCTAGACAAAACTGTGAAGTCCCTTTCTCGAGGGTAGGAGACTTGCTGCAGCTGCCATGCACCTATGCAACTATGCAGATATTCTTATCTAGACGAGATGTATCCTAGAAGCATTTGCAGATTTTAGCAGGGAGTTTGCTCGGGTTGAGGGGCCTCTGCCTTCTCACTGTCGGGCTCTTGAGTGTTTGTACCCGTTCGATGTTCGGTGTGCACACTTGCCAGAGACGACTTGTCGGAAACCTTTGCGAGGCTGAAAGCTACAACAGAGCGTCTCTCCATGGACTACAAGAGACGCACTCTCGAGCTACAGGAGCAGGTTAGCGTCACTAGGATTTAGGCAGAGCAGCCAGATACGCGTGGGGGTACAGTTCTAGGGGATTCGTCACAATGCATACAGCTGCTGCTACTGCTGCTGCTGCTGGGTCCTGCTCGTCCTTCTGGGCCTACAGGTCAAGCGCTCTGAGGATGCTCGGAGGCAGGCCGAGGACCGGAACGCTCAACTGCAGCGACACATAATGGCCCTAAACACCAGCTCCCAGCAGCAGGCTTCGCGTATGGCGAGAATGGAGATCGAACTGCGACGCATGCATGCAGTTTCCTTGAGGCACTTCGTGGAGAAAGAAAGAGTAGTCTCTGGGAGGAGCCTTCAGTATGCCTTTAAATTACAGCAGATAGCCGAGGTGTGGTGTTTGTTTTTCCGCAAAGAGAGTCCGGTGCCGTTTGGCCTAGGTACCTGACGTTGCTTGCGTTTTGCGGTTCTTCACTCTACAGAAGCGACGACTGCCCCTACGCTAGGGTCACGGAGCTCCTAGGGATCCAGGGCCTCCCTGTGCATGCTACTGGTACGAGTAAACCCTCTACTACCAGTTAGCGGAACGTTGGGATTTAAGGAGGCCTTCAGAGGGACTTGTCGAACGTGTTAGGAGGCCTCCTCTGCTAGTATGTTTCCGCGGAGTAGGGGTCCGATGAGAGGGGATATTTTAAGTTCTTGTCCGCTCAGGTGGCGACTTTCAGCGGCATGAAGAAGTCTGCAAAGCGAGGCGTTTCCTCTTGAAAATGGATCTTCTGGAACGCCACACCAGCAAATGCGGGTGAATATGCAATCCCTCCACGTAGGTAGCTCTTCGCTCTTGTGCTCCACTATGAGAAATTCCCCGCGGTGGTTGCTGTAGTGTATGTCTTTCAGGCAGTGCGGGTTGCCGTATGTCAAGGGGCCCCTCGCACCACATGGAGAGCAGCAGCACTTCTGGCATTGCCGCGCCGAAAGCCATGACGTTGCTGAACTCGTTGAGGAAGTATGTAGGAACGTTAGGTGTATGGCGCTGCAGAGCCCAGACCACACAGGACACCCACATTTAGGCGGTAGACAGTGGCCCCGTGCCCGTTAACGACAGCTGGGACTAACGAATACCTCTGCAACTGTCCAGCTGTCCCCTCGCGCCGTTTTTGCGTCTTGAGACACCGTCGGAGATGCATAGAACTCGCTCATTGTGCGGGAATTCCGTCGCTTTGCCGCCCTGGCGTGTTGTAGGGCAGGCTTGGACGGTTAAGGAAGACTGGGCAGGCGTAGGGCGGTTGTTGTAATTGCTGCATGCGCTGTAGGGAGAGATGTTGGCTCAAGGACAGGGGTTTTTGCTGCAGAAGTGCCTAAACCTGTTGTCGAGGGACTCGGAAGTATGCTGGTTTTTATTTGAACTGCTATGCTGCCTGGCGAGAACGTTCGCGAGGCTGCAGCCGAAGAACTATGCACGCCGCTGGCAGTGGAGTGTTTGTTGGGACGACAGAGAGAGCAGAGTGTCCCTTCCCAGACGGACTGAACAATCTCCAGCAGGGCAGCAGCAGAAGGAGCGGACGACATCACACGAGCAGAGCAAGCAATGCCTGGCCATTAAAGAGGACGAAATTGAAGCCGGCGAGTTGCGTCCCTCCGAACTATCAAGCGGCGCGACTGTGGAGAGGGAGTTGCATGTGATGGCCGTCGGTAGTTCGCTGAGTCCATTTGAAGCTCGCCTGGATAAGAACACGAAGGGGGACGACTACTCTGGAGCACCCAGAGCTGAACGCTGCAGCCATCTGGCAGATGCAGGTGGGCAAAGCACTAGACTGCCGTGGAGGCAAGACGAGCCTGGCGAGGACACTGGGATCAGGGGCACTTCGTCGTCAGCCCCAGGGAACAGGTGCAGCCACCTTTGCGAAGGGGGTGAAGCTAAAGATCCGAACGCCTATGACCCACCTTGGGGGAGACGTGTCTGCGTCTGTGGGGGAAGTGGCACCTGGGAGCGGGCAGCCAAACGGTTTCGCTGTGGGAGGCCTGCAACCAATGGAGGCTGCGGTGCCCCCACGCAAACAGAGCCAGAAGGAGTCGACGTTGCCGTTAAGGCCGAGGCCGCCATCGACTTGGACTCGATGATTCTTGATGACTTTGAAGACGATGCGGTGGCAGCGAACACGGAGTAAGCCGCTGCTCTTAAGGTGGCTGTGAGTAGCAGAGAGTCTTCCATGAAAGCAGCCATATCACTGAGGAAATAGTGACATTTTGCCCGCGTAGTTGTAGGGGAGAAACATGCAAATTCATCATGTGTACACAACTGGAGGCCAGCCTTTGCTAAACCATTCGCCCTCGGTGGGGTGCGTTATGCTTGCTATCTGGATTCCTACATTCTCTCTCTCTCTCTCTCTCTCTCTCTCTATATATATATA